CTGATGCGGCGGGTCCTCAAAAAGCTAAACGTGGAGCCACCACCTGGCAGCCCTGTTCCCGGGGCCACCCCGCGGGGACGAGAGCGGGATCTCCCGGCGAGGCCGGCACGCCCGTGTCCACAGCGGCATCGCTCCCAGCAGCCGAGGGGCGGGAGCCACCGCAGTGTCCACCCAGAGGACAGGATCCACCAGACGGGGCCCAGCCACACGGTGGACTGTCACTCAGCCTGGAAAGGAAGGAAGTCCTGACACCGGCCACAGCGTGGATGGACCTGGAGGACATGGTGCTCAGTGAAGCGAGCCAGTCACAGAAGGACACACCCTGTGGGACCCCACTCATGGGAGGTCCCCAAGGGGGTCAGATCCACAGAGACAGCAAGTAGGCGGTGGGGCCGGGGCTGGGGGTGAGAGTTTAACGGGGACAGAGTTCCAGTTTGGGAAGATGAGAAAGTCCTGGAGGTGATGGTGGTGACGGCCGCACAGCAATGTGCATGTACCCGATGCCACCGAACTGTGCACCTAAAACGGTTAGAATGGTCAAATTGTGTGTATTTTACCACAATAAATATATTTTTTTGAGAAAAAATGGGGGAGGCAGGATGTAGGAGGAGGCTGGCTGCTTTCTGAGCCTCTCTCTCAGTGAAGTCTCACAACAGAGGCAAGGCCAGCCCCACTGGCTTTTGAAAGCAGATTGGGAGAAAATACGGCTTTGCGAGAGGCGCCCTCACCGCCTGTGGCTGAGGTGCCCTGGGAGGGGGCCACACTGAGCATGTCAGGAGGGAGGTGTAAGGTGCAGGCGCCACACTCTTGTCATAGACAGGTGTTCCCCACTACAGGGCACGTGATGCCCAGGCCCGCGGGGAGCTCTGGCCACGTTCAGGCTGGCTCTGACTGTGACATGTGGAGTAGACACGGCTGAAGGTCCTAGCCAAGGCTGGCTCACGGGAGGGAGCCTCCAGCGTAAGCAGCAGGGCTGGTGCAGCGCCTGGGGCTGGCCTAGAAGAGAACGGGCCAGACAGGCCTCAGCCCAGCACAGACCACTGGATGGGAGACCATGTGGGACCGACCCTTCCCCAGATGGTGTTCTCGACAGGTTAGCTTTATCTCTCATCCATGAAGGGAGAGCGCGCATTACCATGAGCAACGGGATATTCAACCACAGGATGCCCACGTGGCAGCCACATGGAGACTCGCCTGAAATGACAGATTTCACAGCTCAGAGTTCCTGAGCAGAGCAGGACCATCACCGAATGAGCATGGGCAGTGTCCCCAAGCTTACAGTGGGCGGGAGACCTGTATGGTCTCGGGGGGCGGCCAGGTGTCCACACTGAAGGACACCTGAGTGGAGTTGGGGGGCCCAGGTGTCTCCACTGAAGGACACCTGCATGGAGTGAGTGGGTGGCCCATTACCAGCGTCCACACTGGATAGCCCAGGGGACTCCATGGACACTGGCTGGCCTGCTGAGCTGTGCTTACCCTCTGCTGATTACACAGTCTCCACTTGTTTGATGGAGGAGCCCTCCTGTCCCTCACTCCCGGGGCAGGAAAGTGACTCTCACCAGCTAACTGGTCAGTCCAGGGTGTCCTCGATGCCCTGGGGACACCTGCAGGAAGCCAGTCTACAGCTCTGGCAGCTGCTCCAGAGGAAAGAGCTGGAGGCAGCAGCGTTGTACCTTTCCTACCTCAACCGGGGAGCCAGCAAGGACCCCATTTTTGCTTCAGCCAAATTGGCGTGTAATTGCTGTTGTTTCCATCAAGTTTTGACTGACAGCATCCCCAAGAGAACAATTGTTACAAAAGGATGTTTCCCCAGAGCTCGGGCCCACCCCGATGGTCAGCAGGACTCAGGGGCATGAGCTGCAGCCCACTGGGAAGTGTGCATGTGGGTGCGGCCTCCTCTGAGCCTGGGCCCGTCCCCTCGCCCCCGCCACGCCTGGCCTCATGAGCCCACCATTGGTTTCCACCTCCACTGCACAGGGCTCTGGCAAGACCCTGTGGGTGACAATGGCAATGGTTCACCCAGTCTCCGCCTGTCAGGAGCAGCTGCCCAGAGGCCCAAGGCTGAGCACAGGAACCTCAGGGGGCCCCTGAGCCCACAACGCACGCACGACCAGGGCCACCCTGCTTCGCTGGCTCATGTCAGCTCCCAACTCCCATCCTGCCGGTCCCCTGGCTCCTCCCAAGGCTCCGCGAAGCTCATCGCTGGGCTGCCCCTGGGGCCATGGGGACCAGCCCAGAGCCCCCTACCCGCCCACGTGGCTGCCTTTGTCATCCTGAGCAGACCTGCCGTGGAGAGACCGAGCCCGAGCCCCCGCACCACAGTTCCGCTTTCCTTAGCTCACTGCTTAGGCCAACTATTTAACAAAAGAGCAGGACGAGCAGGCGCACCTGTGCGCACAGGGGCACTCCTGACATAAAGCCCACCCTGACAGGTGTGAGGGCGCGGAGGCCTGCCCACGTGCAGGCGTCCAGCCCAGACAACCCCTCTCGCCATAAGAACCCATCAGAAGGCCAACCTGAAAAGACAACCATCGTAATCTTAGCTACCTCCATGAAGAGGGGGTCCCCATGCTTGACGGAAAATAACTGAGGTCCCCAAACCTGCAGAATCGCAGAACAGACACCCCACCACCCCCCCACCGTAATGAGGGCTCGGAGGCCCCAGGAGACTCACCTCTGTTTGCTGGGGGTCTCTTCGGCTTTGGGCCGCCAGCCCCACGGCACCAGCTGCAAGTTGTCCAGACGGTTGTCCACAGTCACGGCGTTGAGATGCACCACCTGAAAGCCGGGAGCCACGCCTCCCCGGTGCCGCTCCCTAGGAAACAGGTAGCTCTCCAGCTCCGCCCCCCGCCCTCCCCAAAAGTTTCAGCCCAGGATCGGAACTGGCCCTTGTCACAATGAAAGGTGCAAGGCTGCCCAGAGCAAGGCAGTCTGTAGCCCAAATGGCCCACGTGGGTGGTTCAGCCCCTGGACTGAAAAGCTAGGCCGCAGGGAGCCAAGGCTGGAGCCCCAAACCATCTAACACAGAGCCCAGCAGACGCCCCACTGCACACACTGAGGAAAGGCGCCCCTCCCTCTATGAGGGACCAGACCCCACCCTCCCCCAGAGGGGGCTGTGTCCTCTGGAGTGAGCACCGGGCACAACGCACACTCGGTGTCTCGGGATTCTTAGGCTGGCTCACCGGGGCCACAATACGCAAACCAGCCATGCCCTTGAGTTAGCAGCAGCGACATGAAAGCATTATCTGTCAATAAGGGCTTGGGCAGGATCCAAGGGGAGAAACAGGCAGCTGAAAAACACCCACCAGAGCAGCTCATGAAGGAGCCTTCCGGACCCCCTTCCTCGGTTTTTGTCAAAGGCACACGCAAATATCTTAGCGCCATTTCCATCTGCGTCCACTTCCATCCGGGCCTGGGCAGGAACAAGCCAGAGTTCTGTTAAAAAGCCTAGACTTTTGGCAACACTTTAAATACCTCTTAGAAAAGTTGAGTGAGATGAGCAAGCAGATGACAAATGCAGGCCTGTTTCTGGGACCCGGGAGGCTGCAGAGGCTCCCAGGGACACGGGGCACTGAGAAACCAGCCGTGTCCCAACAAGCGCCCTCCCGCATTCGAGCAGGACACACTCATGAGCCAGTCTGCGCAGCACTGAGAGCACAGCGAGGTAAATCCCCACACTTAGAAAGCCCCCAGTCCCGGTAGAAAGGTTCCCCACACGGGAATGAGTGTGAAGGGCTGGCGTGAGGGTGCTGGGCCCACAGACTCCGGGGAGGGCTCCTGAAGGGAGGTGGCAGGTGGGTGGGGACTGGCTGCCAGAGAGTGCAAGGCAGGGCACTTGGCTAGGTGGGAGCAAGGCGCACTGGGCACCAGGAGGGACAGCGGGCCAAGGCCAGAGAAAAGGTGAGGTGGCACTGACGGCCTCACCAGGAACACAGGCTTGTCCAATGGAACATTCCATCACAAACAACACAATTTGGTCTGTTTTTCAGGAAGAGTCGGCAAGCAGAGTGGAAGTTGGGGAGGACCGGTGTCACAGAGACAGCACTGAGACCCGAGTTCACACGCCAGGTCCCACCTTGCATCACGGAGAAGCAGAGCCTCCCTCCAGGCCCTTCCCGCGTGCTGCCCGACAGTGGGCCAGCAGCGGCCATCCTTACCTCAAAGGAGTAGCCCTCCACCAGCGGGATGTCCTCTTCATCAATCAGTGTGTACTTGGTCTAGAAATTAACCACATTCCCAGACGTTACCTTTGAGATCAGGGTGCGGTACCGGTAACAGGCAGGACGGCCCCTTCGGACGAAGAGGTCAGTAGATGCTGACACGAGTACCCACTACAAGGGCGGGGAGACCTGCCAAAAGCTGGTCACGCCCAATCGAGACCGGACCAGAGGGGCAGGTATCAGGCTCCCTCCCATCTATTTGAGACTAACCAGAACAAATGCCACCGAACGCCCAGCCTCTAAGCTGTGCGTTTCCATGTGCCTATAAAACTAGTCCAACGTGGTGGCAAGGGACCCGGGCGAAGTTTGAAGAAGAGAATATCCAGGAAGTCTCAACTAGTGTTCCTTCATTAAGCAGGGCAGTTGGCACACAAACACTTGCGAAATTGTCTTTTTTAGCTTTTTGTTCCAAGTAAAACCTTTAAAGGTTGACATCAATGCAACCAGTTACTAAATCTGAAAGGTCTCAGAGCTGACGGGAGCCCACCCTTCGCTAGTTAGAAAGCCACATTCCTCTTGCAGGACCGGCAGGAAAGGCCTCCAAACGAACCACTCTCACTCTTGCTTGGGAAGCTGTTTTCTAAGATCTGAGTCCGTTTTGCCATCATCTGACTGCCTCTGCTCCTCTCTCTCACCAGAAGCTTCCGCCGCTGGTGACAGGAACAGGGTTCCCATCCAGGGTAAGGACCTTGGCTCCTGGTAACAGGCCAGCCTCAATGCCCACAGGTGCTAGGAAGCCCCAGCCTCGAACACGTGGAGGGCGGGGCCGGGTAAGGGAGAGAAGCAGGAGGTGGGAGGCCTTGCCACGGCGAGGCCCACTGAGGCTCAGTAAACGTGGCCACCGCTGCTAGCGTGAAACCTGAGGGAAGCTCTACTACGACCCGCAAGCACGGAGGGTGCGCACACACCGGTCTCGGCAGGGAGCGAGCGCGCCGCATCAGAGGGGCTCCACGCTCCCCGCGCCGCAGGTGCAGCCGACAGCGCCTCCTGCCCGGCCACCGCGCACAGTTGGAGACCGAGACCGCGGCTGGAGGAGGGCTGCCCCGCGGGGACACACCGCCGGCCCGCCGCCCGCACAACCGCCAGGGCCCGCTCGCCCGGTCCGGCCCCGTGCCCCTAGCCCCGCGCCGCTCACCATCAGAGGGGCTCCACGCTCCCCGCGCCGCAGGTGCAGCCGACAGCGCCTCCTGCCCGGCCACCGCGCACAGTTGGAGACCGAGACCGCGGCTGGAGGAGGGCTGCCCCGCGGGGACACACCGCCGGCCCGCCGCCCGCACAACCGCCAGGGCCCGCTCGCCCGGTCCGGCCCCGTGCCCCTAGCCCCGCGCCGCTCACACTTT